ATACCCTGCACGAGACATGGTATGTGGGTATACATTCTGCTCAGATATTTGTTTGTTCTTCTGACTCAATGCCTATGACAATGAAACCAAATCGACAAAATTAGTTTAGTTAAATAAAATATGACCTGATTAAAAATTAAGTTTGAAGAAACCAAACCTGAAATGCAGGGTCTTCACGTTGCTTCACAAAATTCTCCCATGCCTCATCACTAATAAACTGGTATCGTTCCTTAGGATGCTCACCCTTTCTTTTTCCATTAATATAATGTGTTGTAAGCATGGACTTAAAATCCCTCCACCGTTCAGCAATTTGCTTCAACAGACGGTCTCTCATTTGTTTAGTGGCAGGAATATCAAATGTCAGCTGCATGCAATACAATAATAGCATAGAGTTATAAAGTAAATAAACAACTATAATTGAAACAAGTAGAGAAAACAATGCACAATATACCAATATATCCTCCCAAAGTTTTTCTTCAAATCTTTGTCCACCTTCTTCCAGTTAGGAATGTCAATGCTAATTTTACTGCGTGCGAGATAACCCACATAACTAGTAAATTGAGCCCCATCCTTTCCTATAGGCTTCAGATCATCATCAAACTCCACTGTAATCCTCATAGGCTGTGTGCTCTCATCACGTAAAGCTAAATGCCTCATATGGGTTGGCCCTCTACCCTTTCTCCGGCTAGTAAAAGAGTTGTCATCACCAGAACCCTGTTGACCGGATCCGTCCATTTCCTGTTTAAAGAACAAGGAATTAATAAATGTAAGAATAAAAAATATCAAGTTAATATAAAACATTATATTATTAAGTATATTTAGCAAAAAAAAATCAAAAAATTCATTTGAGGCTTACAACGATTATCCTCCCAAATTCCTTCACAATGATCATCTCTAACAGCATAGTCATCATCTACCAAATCTAATTCAACTGCTTTAGGTCGAGTAGCTGTGAAAGGCGGGGTTTCATCAAGATTAAGCTCTAAGTCACCATCATCTCCACCAACTCCTTGCCTTTTACCTTGAAGCACGATAGACAATTTCTTTTTTGCTAGATCGGGAACGAAGAACACTTGTTTTGCTTGACTTGCCAAAATAAATGGCTCGTCTCCGTATCCAAACCTCTCAAGATCGACCGAAACAAATCCAAATTCTTCATCCACTTGCACAGCATTACTATTAACCCACTTACATTTGAAGACGGGAACTTTAAACTTGGTATAACTAACCTCCCATATCTCTTCTATTATTCCATAATAGGACATTGCCGCCAACATTGGGTTTCTGTCTTTAGAACTAGCAAAATGCATGGCTTCCGCTACTACCATCACCCCACTATTCTGCATAGTACTCTTATCGTCTTGGGTTTTTGTGTAAAAAGAATAACCATTTATATCATATCCACCCCAACACAAAACCTCAAAAGAAGGCCCTGCAGCTAGCCTCTGTATTGTCTCAGAAGGATTGCCATCTTTTAACACTTCTCGCTTGAACCACTCTGCAAATGACTTATTATGTTCATTAGCTAGTTGCATGTCACTCTTTCTTGGATTCAAGTTCCTCAGCATATTCTTGTGAGCATTTAAGTACGGCAAAACTTCATCTGTGTTGTTTAAAATGTATAGATGTGCCTGCATTACAACTTCTCTTGACATAGACCTCACTATGACACCCCGTGTTCCCTTGCTTCTTCTCCCTTGATCATGTCGAGATTGAGGAAGACCAACTGCCTTTACCCTTCAAGATATGCGTTACAAAACTCAACTGCCTCCTCAGCTACATATCTCTCAACAATTGATGCCTCAGGCCGATAAGGATTCTTAGAGTACCCTTTTAGGATTTTCATGTATCTCTCAAAAGGGTACATCCATCTTAAACACACAGGGCCACAAAGTCTTATCTCTCGCACAAGATGAGCTATCAAGTGGACCATAATATCAAAAAATGATGGAGGAAAATGCATTTCCAATTGAGAGAGGATCACATAACCTTCATTTTCTAATTCATCCAACTCAGCAGGATCAATGACTTTGCTGCAAATGGCACTAAAAAACATACAAAGTCTTGTAATAGTATTTCTCACATCGGTTTTCATAATGCCTCGAATAGCAAGTGGAAGTAATTGTTGCATCAACACATGACAATCATGAGACTTCATTCCCGTTATCTTCAAATCTTGCATTGAAACAAGTTTGCTTAAATTAGAAGAATAACCTTGTGGCACCTTAATAGTATTGACAAAACCACAGAAACTTCTTTTCTCTTCTTTTGATAATGTGTGCGCAGCTGGATGTAAATAAGCCCTCTTACCATCTCTTTCTTGTGGGTGAAGGACATTTCTTATTCCAATTTCGACTAAGTCTCGTCTTGTATTGATTCCATCTTTAGTCTTTCCACTTATATGCAAAAGTGTACCAACAAGACTCTCACATACATTCTTCTCCACATGCATCACGTCTAGACTATGCCTCACATCAAGACTTCGCCAATATGGAAGATAAAAAAAGACTGATCTTTTTTTCCATATATTTCTCTCACTGGCAGTCTTCTTCTTCTTCTTCTTACCGAAGACCACATTAATTCCCTCCACCCGCTGATAAACTTCTTCTCCAGTTAATGGTCTTGGAGCCATTTCATATTCTTGTGAGCCATTAAATGCCTTTTTCAATCTACGGTAAGGGTGATACCGACTAAGAAACCTTCTGTGACCAAGTATACTGTCTTCCTGCCATGTTTAAGTTGCATATAGTGGGTGCCTTCTTCACATATCGGGCATGCTTTATGCCCCTTAACACTGTATCCAGACAAATTTCCATATGCTGGAAAGTCATTTATCGTGGTGAAGATCATGGCACGTAAATTGAAGGTCTCTTGTTTATATGCATCAAACACATCAACACCTTCCTCCCATAATTTCTTCAGATCCTCAATCAAAGGTGCCAAATACACATCAATATCGTTTCCCGGTTGTTTTGGCCCCGAGATCATCAAAGATAGCATGATATACTTTCTTTTCATACATAACCAAGGAGGCAAGTTGTAAATTACGAGGAGCACTGGCCAAGCACTGTGTGTGCTACTAAGATTACCATATGGGTTAATTCCATCCGTACAAAGCCCTAGCCGAAGGTTTCTTGGCTCGCCACCAAATTGAGAAAATTTTTGATCTATTGTTTTCCATTGAGGAGAATCTACTGGGTGACGAAGCTTTCCATCACATATTTTCTCATCAAAATGCCATCTCAAGTTCTTTGCATCTGTGGCATTAGCAAATAGACGCTTAAATCGTGGTATTATTGGAAGATACCACAGAACCTTTAAAGGAGAACCTTTGGTCATCTCATTATAATCACCATCATCTTTCTTCATTTTGTATCTTGAAGTCCCACATTTAGGGCACTTATTCAACTCTTCATAATCATTTCTGAATAATATGCAGTCATTAGGACACGCATGTATCTTCTCATATTCCAAACCCATCGGACACAAAATCTTTTTTGCCTCATACATTCGTTTCGGAAGTGAATTCCCTTTGGGAAGAATATCACTCAGCAATTCAAGCAATTCCGTAAAACTAGCATCGGTCCAACCATTTCTTGCCTTCAAATTCATCAGTTTCAATACGGTTGTCAATCTTGTGTAATCATCTTTGCACCCTGGGTATAAAGGTGTCTCTGCATCACTACACAAAGTTTCAAAGGTGGAAGAAAACTGTGTAGAGGATTCAGACCTTATATCATGAAACATATCCGAAATTCTATCACCAAAGTCTTCATTCACAACCTTCTCATTTGCAGACAGTGTAGTCTTTCTAATTTCTCCATGCCATATCCAATTTGTATACCTCAAATTTATCCCATCACAGATAAGATGCTCTTTTATCTCAGAAATACTCCGTCGACTATTGTTTAAATATTTGACACAAGGACAATAGTACAATCCATCTCCTTTACTAGGGGCATTTCTCTGAGCAAACTCAAGAAACTTTTCAACCCCATCCTCATATTCCTTGCTAATTCTCTTAGCTTTCATCCAACTACGATCCATTGTTCTACAATTATTTAAACAATACTTTACTATCAATCAAAATTCATAACGAAGGAAAAAAACACAAAATAACTAACAGATTATTTATCACTAAATTCTTATATTTATTACAAAAAAATTATCAAAAATTCGAAATAAATATCAAAAAATTATAAAAAAATTTAAAAACTTCACAACTAATCAACTCCAAACATTTAAACATATTTCTAATACAGTATATAAAAAGGAATTAAGGTTTTCTCACATCTAATGCCTACCAATTAACACCAATCAATGGTTCAACCACATAAAAAATGCAAAATGAACAATACAAGCCAACCACAATGTAAAACTAACAACCCCATTTCATATATAACAGATTTTCATGGCTAAAACATTCAACAAACCAAGAAAAATTGAAAAGAATGAAAGAAGAGGATACTCACAGAGCAGAGAAGCTTCAAACGCGAAGTGAGGTGGCGGCGGACGCGGCAACGCACCGGTTTTCGGTTAGATAGTGGGGGGTAGGACCGGTTTTCGGTGGTGGACCACGGCTGAGCAAGAACGGACGGAAATGGGAGGCGGTCGACCACGGCAGACTGCGGCGCACAGCGGCAAGGCTCCAAGAGCTCAATGGAGGAGTTTAAACGGTGGGATAGTGGCGGGAATGGCCGGTAATGGCAGTTTTACGGTGGTGGGGCAGAGGGGGACCACGGCGCATTGAAGAAATGAGAAAGAAAGTGAAGAGAGTCGAGCGGCCGTGGGGGTTTGAAGACACACTTTCCATGGCGGTTTTCTTAAAAACTGCCGTGGAAAGTCATACCCTCTTCAACTTATTTACAAAAATGCCACCGCATTTTTTTCCACTTCGTTTTTCTGCTGAACCGCCGTTAGTTTGCGACGTTAAAAGTCTTTTTTCTAGTAGTGAACTCTCACACAGAATCGCTCTCTTTGTTGACGTTCTGATTCAGTTGTCAGAACCGTCGAGTCTGTTCTACCACCATCCAGCTCTCAAAGGGAGTAACAGTGGGGGTCTCCTTTTTCGTCGTGCTTCTTCCCTCCTCCCCTTCTCCCGTCATATCGTCGCTCTGTTTTGTCAACTCCGCCACGTCACCCCTAGTGGTGTTTTCATTTCTCGCATCAATCATTCCACTAGGGCAATGGTCCGCATCATGCCTATAACTTCCACATCTAAGGCAAATGAGGTAGATGCTCTTGTACTGAATCTTGGACTCTCTCCCATTAACAAGGATCATAGGACATAACGGTGTAGACAAGTCAAGTTTGACGCATATACGAGCAAATCTTCCCTTTTTCTTGCCAAGAGTGGTTTTATCAACTTTCAGAACTCCTCCCACTTGCGACCCTAGCACATGTGAAATCCCTATATCATAAAAGTCTAGGGAGAGTTTGGAGATACGAATCCATGCAACAATCTTGTTTATCTCCTCGCCCTTAGGATCAAACACTTGCTTCTAAGGTTGCATGGCCAAATAGTGATCATAGGGTAGCCATGGTCCACTCGTTAGTGCAATGTCATAGTCTTCCTTGTGTGTGAACCGCACCACAAAGAAGCCTGATCCCACATCTATAGCTGTGACGTCCCCCATTCTTGCCCACACCTTTTGCACTTTTGACTCCATGAGTTCTGGGTGGATCATTCTACCCAACAACTTGACAATTAACGCCTTCTCCCATCTCCTCACCAATCTATCCATCTCCTGTTGGGGTATAATGACATTAGGACCCTTGGGTGTCTTCTCAACTTTTATGCGTTCTTTCCAACGGTTGTTGCTCCACCAATCCTTCTCTACCTCCTTGTCGTCTTTCTCATGCGTCACCGCATGTTTGAAGGACTTCCATTTCGCACCACCAAGGTCGACCCCATCCACCGAACTCATCGTCTCCACACTCCCTTGCCCTGTAGCATGCATCCAGTCCTCATCACGTGGAACCAATGCTTGCTCATTTTGAACCGACCTTCACCAGCCGAAACCTTTTTCCAACTAAGCTCAATAGCATCTTGCTCCTCCGGTGACGGCCACAGGTTCGCATCGTCTCTCACACTCATCTCTCTTCTGGACACTATGACAATATCCCCATCTCCATTCTATCATTTCATCCCAATCAATCCTTTCTTGCTAAGCCTGATTGAAGAAAGAAAAACGGAACCAACAGAGAGTTGGTTTAGCAGGTCCTTTGGGTCTTAAATTTAGGTCTTAAAAATGGAATTTATGTTAACAGAGGCAGCCACTAACCCAGGTCGGATTAGTTGCTGTCCCAAATTAGGAAACCAGTTTTGGTGCTCATCATTTTGATGAGCATTTTAAACTCATAAGATTTTGATTATTCATATCTCATTTGAATGGTTCGGACTTGGTTTCTTTTTTTTATTTATTCAAAATAATTATTTTAATATGTATAGAATTTAAGATAGAGATAATCTATTAACTATTATTTTTTCAAAAAATAGTTTTCCAATTTAAAAATAATTAATTAAATATTTTAAATTTGAACCGTTCAAATTATATATAAACGGTCAAAATTTAATGAGTTTAGAATGCTCATCAAGGTGATGAGCACCGAAACTGATCTCCCAAATTAGTCGATTGCCTGAAAATGTAGTGATAGGATCCAGAAAAATCAAGTGATAATAATTTATTTCCATCGCATGTAACTCATTGACTTCAGTTGTACGTGTATCTTTCCCGCCGTCCCCATCAAGCAATCTCAACGCAAGTGAATGATCTATATGAGTGTGGTCAATGTTCACGAGCTTTGCTTCATTAATTCTTTGGTGAAGACACAATTTTTTTTTCAAAAAAAAAAAATCTGAACTCAGTGAATAGAATTGTCTCTAATAAAAAAAAAACCTATATTTAGCAAAAAAATTATGTTATGTGTTTTTCTTTTTATAAGAAGGATGGTGTTATCCTTTTTCTGTATTAAATGGAGGACTTTGTTTATAGTGTTGATCCCATATATATGACGTAATCTAATTTATTTTTTATATTTATCACAAAATCACAAAAAAAGAATTTTAGAAATTAAAAAATTACACACGGGGACCCTTTCATAAAAATTGTAATTAAAACCCATAGTAATGTTGTCATTAGTTCCTATTTGCAATTTTTTATTTCGAAGGTCTTTTTTTGTGATTTTTCCTTATCATTTTTTAAAATCAATTTATCAATTTTATAAACTAGTATATATAACCTAATGAGTATCGTAAGAAGATCATATCACAGTTTGTTATAATTAAATAGTTTATTTAATTTTTTTTCAATTTATTAAAATAAATCAAATAACTCTTTTGTCAAGGATTGGAAAGTATTCTATATCCGAAAGAAATGTTGCAGGAAAATTGTTGGTATTAAATTATTAATTAATATGATTGAACCAGGCTTCATATCATATATCTATATATATATATATATATATATATCTCTAAATATGTATATAACAAATAAATACTATCTCCTGTTTTTAATAAGCTATTTTAACTTTTAATTTGATCACAAATATAAAACCTCAATCCACTTTATATCTTATATTTATCTATTTTTTTAAACTAGTCATTATAGTAATTACACATGTTAAAGACTTCATCAAATGGTAGTTATAACTAATATATATGAGTAGCAACTAGCAAGGATATTGAAAAATAACACATATTTATTATAAATAACTATCTTAACAAATTTTTTTAATTTAATTAAATTAGTCAACTAGTTCTTATATTAAGCACTGGAGGTAATATTTAACAGTTTCAAAAATTTTAGTTTCATATATTGTTGATTTTTCAAGGGTATATGGTTGAATATATTGAAACATATATTAATATCTGCGTATGTATGTATGTTTTTTTTTTTTGTTGATAAGCTGTATGGATCTGTTTTAGAACGGTTCTTTCTATGCAGGGTCAAGAAAAAAAAGCTGACGAATGGGTGCAAATTTAAAATTTCGTACAAACTAGAGAGGCAGAGAATCGTTTGAAAAAACAATCGAAGATTACCCCAGTAATTATTAATTTTTCAAAATATTAATTTCGTCATGTAAATCAAATTGCGATTTACATATTTTTATCTTGAAAAACAAGAAAATTTTGAGAAACAAAATACAAACCGCATTTCGATTTTCAGATATAACATATTATATATTTAACTAAATATAATCAGATTTTATAATACAACAGCATCCCATCGTTACGTGAACCTCCTTTTATACTCTCTGATTCACAAACCGATCGATCTGAAATAATATAGTATTTGATTCTTTATTCTTTGTCTTTATTTTCGTTTTGATTGTTATAGTTTCAAATTATAAGTTTTGGCTTTTCAAAAAAACAAGATGGTTTAGTTTTTTATTAAAATATAAGAACTAATATTTTAGATGCAGAAAAACTTGAGAGCCAAAATCTATGATTTAAAATTATAAGAACTAAACTCAAAATAAAAATAAATTATAAGAACAAAACATTATATTAGCTTTTTTTAAAAGAAAATACCAATAGCTTATACTCCTTTAATCCTATTTATAAATTATTTTCAATATAGACAAAAAAAACTCTAGACTTTGTTAACTCTCATCTAAAATTTAATAATTTTTTAACTTTATTCTTATTTAATATACGTTATATTTTATGTAAACAAAGCCTACACAATAATAAATGAAGGGTATAATTGTACATCCATATAAAAAAGTTATCTTAGTATCCATAAATATGACAAAAATTAAAAAATATCTTTTCTCTTTGTGCTACACAAGAGGAGTATAAAGCAACACAAAACAATGAGTTGTATCCAACAAAAAAAACATAGAACAATGGGATGGAACATAGGATAACAATTAATTAAGAATTATTTAAGATATTTAGGTTTATTTTATTAGGGTATTTATCCGAATAAAGATATTTTCAAATTAGGATTAGGATTTTATGAGTTTATTTATAATCCTTTCTAATTTATTTTAGATTTATTTACTTCCAATGAAATAAGATATATATCTAGCTTAGATTATTTTTCACTTCCACAATATTTATCAATAAGTCACTGACTATAATTAATTTTAAAAAAAAAATTACAAAACCGCTTTATTAAATGAGCACAATTATCAAACCATATATAGTTCTAAATTCTAATTCTAATATTATTCTCCGACGATTACGAGCAGAAAAAAGCTAAGCAATGGCTTCTTCTCCTTCTGATCCCTATTCTGAGTTTTACTACTCTGTTCACTTCGATGGAGAACTTATTCAAACCCTAGTCACAGGGTCTTGTTTATGTGTTGACCGATGGATCTCTGATATCTACTATCTCTACCGTCATGATATTGCCGACGACGGACTGGTCGTCGGCCTCGACTGCAAATCGCTTCCGAGTTCCATCGCCGGAATCACCCACCCCATCGCCGTCATGCAACTCTGCGTCAACGATCGCTGCCTCATTTTCCAGATTATGTACGCCGATGCAATGCCTATCGAGCTAGTCCGATTCCTCAACGACGAAAGAATCACCTTCGCCGGCGCCGCAGCGAAAGAAAACGCAGAAAAACTCAAGAGGGACTATGGCCTCCGAGTGGCTTGCGCTGTGGATGTTGCGGACATGGCGGCGCTGATCTACGACGATCATGAGTTCAGAGGTATGGGATTGTTGGAAATGGCTTTTACGTTACTTGGTGAGAAGATGAAGAAGCGTTCGTTAAGTGACTGGGACAATAGATTCCTTACATATTCTCATGTAGAATATGCATGTGTTCATGCTTATATGTCTTATTTTCTGGGAATGTTCATCTTATCTTTTGATGATGAAGAAGAAACAAAGAGGAGAGTACAACAAATTTTCTTAATTTAAAAGGGAAAACAGCATCTGTACTGAGATTACAAGTGGGATCTGATTGGCAGCCTTTTATGCAGCTATATACTTGACAATGGAGATGAATTGGACCAAGTGGTTGTGTTGATTCAATAATTATGCCATGTAATTTAACCTCTCGTTTTTTCTTTTTGGTTTTAATGGTGGTGTTTTTTTTTTTTTTAATGTTATGACATTGACTCTGCAATTGTTGTTTTCTTGATGGCCATATAATAATTCATTATTGCAGTTAATAATGGAGATGATGCTTGACGCAATACAATTTGATTCTGATGAATGATTCTGATTCGATTGAATTAATCATGGTGATCTAAACTATTTAATCCTATATCTTTGTGGCTAAAAAACTTAAAAAAGTACGTACATAATCTTATTTTGATATTAGTATATTATGTTATGAATAATGCGTAGTTTAAGTGTGGTTATGGTTATTCTTTTGAATCAAATCATATGTTATACACACACACACATACATACATATATACATGATCCCTTTTGATTTTGTTTGTTGGGGGCCAACTTTATGGGAAAAAATATCATGACTTTATCAATTTCACTTCATAGCTTTAATGACATTAGTTATATAATATCTCGAAATATGGGAGTCCTCTGTCCATTTTTATAAGCAACTAAAGCTAAATCATGCGGATCAACATGTTAGTTAAAATTAGTTAAAGACAATAAATGTATAAAAATTAATTTTTTTCAAAATATTCTATTTATAGGGGATAAAGTATAAAAAAGAGATAAAAAATTATTAATAAAAAAATTATGAAAAAAGTGTGACAGAGAAAGATTATATTAAACTACCATCTCAAGAACAGTCTAGGAAATGATGATGTTTTGGG